TCATAGGGACATTAACCCAATAGGACCTGGGTCTTATAAGTTTTATAAGAAGAGAAAGAAATCAGCAGAAATCATTCTCTCTCCCCCCCACCTCTCTCTCTCTCTCTCACAACATGCCCACAGAAAATAGGCTATGTAAAGACACAGCAAGAAGGTGCCTGTGTACAAATGAGGAAGAGAAGTCTCACCACAAACCAACTCTTCTAGTACCTTGGACCTCTAGCTTCCATAACTGTGAGAAAGAAATTTTCTGTTGTTTAAGCCACCAGTCTGTAATATTTTATTATGGAAGGCTAAGTAGACTACTACAAACTTAGCTACAAATGTGGTGGCTACTATAATAATATGAAAGTGGCTTTAACACTGGATGATGGGTAGAGGCTAGAAGAGTTTTGAGGTGCATGCTAGAAAAAGCCTAGGTTGCCTTGAAAGGGCTGCTGGTAGAAATATGGATGTAAAAGATTATTCTGGTGAGGCCTTAGAAAGAAGAGAGCTGTAGAGAAAGCTTCTGTCATCTTGGAGAGCACATATATTACAATTAAATGGAATGTTGGTAGAAATATGAACATTAAAGATGCTTCTGGTGAAGTCTCAGATGAAATTAAAAATGTTATTGGAAACTGGAGGAAAGGCTATTCTTATTTATTTTTTAAATCCTCACCTGAGGATATATTTTTATTGATTTAGAAAGAGAGGAGAAGGAGGAGAAGGAGGAGGAGGAGGAGGAAGAGGAGGAGGGGGAAGAGGAGGAGGGGGAAGAGGAGGAGGAAGAGGAGAGACAGAGAAACATCGACCAGTTGCCTCCTGTACAGATGATCAAGCCACGAACTAGGTATGTGCCCTGACTGAGAATCGAACCCACAACCTTTTGGTGTATGGGAGGATGCTAAGCCACCTGTCCAGGGTAGAAAGGCTATTCTTGTTCAAGAATGGGAAAGAACCCAGCCATGTGGCTCAGTGGTTGAGCGTTGACCTATGAATCAGGAGGTCACAGATTCTTGATCAGGGCACCTGCCCATGTTGTGAGCTCAATCCCTAGTGTGGGGCATGCAGGAGGCAGCAGATCAATGATTCTCTCTCATCATTGATGTTTCTATATCTCTCTCCCTCTCCCTTCCTCTCTAAAATCAATAAAAATATATTTTTAAAAAAGAATGGCAAAGAATTTGCTGAATTGTGTTCTAATATTTGGGGGAAGTAAAATTTGTGAGTGAAAAGCTTGGATATTTAGCAGAGCAGATTTCTAAACAAAGCGTTAAAGATACAACCTGGTTTATCCTTACTGCTTATAGTAAAATGCAAGATGAAAGAGATAAGTTGAAAAAAGTGTTATACAAAAAAGAACCAGAACTTGAAGATCTGGAAAATTCTTACCCTGTCTATATCGTAAAAGATGAGAAAGCATGTTCTGGAGAGAACATCAAGGATGTAGCTAGACATTTACTTCATAAAGAAATTCCCTGATAGATCAACCAAAGGACTTGTATGCATGCATATAAGCATAATCAATGGACACAGACACCAGGGGTTGAGGGCATGAGTGGGAAGAAGGGGGTAATGGGGGGATGAGGACACAGATGTAATACCTTAATAAAGAAAGAACAAAATGTAAAAAAAAAATTCCCAATGGATTTAATCAGCCATTTCAGCTGAAGTAAGGAATTGAAATAAGATTATACCAGCAAAAATATTGCCAGTTGGTGAGGATGTGGAGAAAAAGGAACCCTCGTGCACTGCTGGTGGGAATGCAGACTGGTGCAGCCACTGTGGAAACCAGTATGGAGTTTCCTCAAAAATTTAAAAATGGAACTTCCATTTGACCCAGTGATCCCACTTCTAGGAATATATCCCAAGAAATCAGAAATACCAACCAGAAAGGATATATGCACCCCTATGTTCATAGCAGCACAATTTACAATAGCTAAGATTTGGAAACAGCCTAAGTGCCCATCAGCAGATGAGTGGATTATAAACCTGTGGTACATCTACACAATGGAATTCTATGCTGCTGTAAAAAAGAAAGAACTCTTACCACTTGCAACAGCATGGATGGAACTGGAGAGCATTATGCTAAGCGAAATAAGCCAGTTGGAGATAGATAAATATCATATGATCTCACTCATTTGTGGAATATAATGAACTACATAAACTGATGAACAAAAATAGATCCAGAGATATAGAAGAATCAAACAGGCCGACCAACCTCAGAGGGAAGGTGGGAGGGGGGTGTTAAAAGATCAACCAAAGGATTTATATGCATGTATATAAGCATAACCCATGGACACAGACAGTACGGGGATGAGGGCATGTGCTGGGAGGTGGGAACAGCGGAGGAAAGGTCAATGGAGGAAAAAGAAGACAAATGTAATACTTTAAACAATAAAGGTGTTGTTGTTTTTATAAAAAGAAAGAATGCACTGAAACCAGAAAAAATATATATATTGCCAGCTGGGACTAATGGGAACTGAGAAAATGGGACAGATTGAATAAAGCTATTGGACTTCTGTTGTTCTACAGCATGAGACAATAGAGCTACTGACTTTAATTAACATGTGTTATATTTCAAGAAAAGGGAAGAATGACCCAAGGATGATTCAGAGATCACCAGGATTGCCACTCCAACCCACAGGCCAAGGGAGCAAGGCAATTTCCTCCTTGGTTTCGGAAAGTGGAGCAATCTTCTCGGCTTCAGTGGCCCAATCTTCTTGGTTTCAGTGGGCCAGAATACAACTGCCCAGTGCCTCAGGGGCAAGGCATCCACACAATCCACAGGACAGAGCCACCATGTAGGACCATGCGGGTGACATTGTCATTCAAGTTGGCCTGAGCATCAAGCCAAAGATTATTCTCCAACCTTAAGATACAATGATATTTGTCTTTCTCTGTCTGGCTTATTTCACTTAGCATAACAATCTCTAGGTCCATCCGTGCTGTCGAAAATGGTAAGATTTCATTATTTTTTAGGGCCAAGTATACAATTCTATTCTATACATGAACCACAACTTTTTTATCCACTTGTCTATTGATGGGCATATGGATTGCTTTTACACCTTGGCTATTGTAAACAATGCTGTAGTGAACATAGTGGTGCATATATGATATCACTTATATGTGTGGGCTCTAAACAAAACACTGGGGAGGGGGGCAGTGAAATAGGTAAAGGGATTAAGAAATACAAATGGAAAAAAACAGAAATACAAATGGGAAGTTATAACATAGTCCCGTGGATGTAAAGTACAGCAAAGGAAATATAGTCAACAATTTTGTAATAACTATGTATGGTGCCAGGTGGGTACTTGAAATACCAGGGGGAACACTTTGTAAAGTATATGATTGTCTAACCACTATGCTATACACATAAAGCTAATACAAAATAATGTTTAATGTAAACTGTAATGAAAAATAAAATTTTAAAAAGATACAATGGCCCTTTTTCTTGCTTGGTTTTGAACTTGCTTGAAATACATTTATCCTCTCTTCTTTCTGATTTCTCCATTTTGGAAAGGGAATGTCTATGCTATGGCTGTCCCACTGAATTTTGGAAGCACATAACTCATCTGGTTTTATAGGTTCACAATTGGAGAGGAATCTTGTCTCGGGATGAATCATACTTTGAGTCTCACCTATACCTGATTTAGATAACACTCAAATGAGACTTTGGACTTTGAATTGATACTGGATGGGTTAAAACATTGGGGCCTGTTGGGACAGAGTGAATATATTTCTTATGCAAGAAGGATATGAATTTGGGGTAGAATGTTATGGACTAAATTGTGTTCCCCAAAAATTCATATGTTGAAGCCCTAATCTCCAATGTAGTCGGGACTTTAAGAAGATAATTAAGATTAAATAAGGTCAAATGGTGAAATCCTAATCCAATAGAACTAGTGTTTTTATAAGAAGAGGAGACACCAGATATATATATATAATCAGTTTCTCTCTCTCTCTCTCTCTCTCTCTCTCTCTCTCTCTCTCTCTCTCTCTCTCTCTCTCTGAAGTTCTATCTCTATATGCACAGAGAAGGTGGCCATCTGTAAACCAGAGAGAGAGGCCTCAACAGAAACTAACACTGCTAGTGACCTTAGACTCCCAGGCTCTAGAACTGCAAAAAAATAAATGTCTGTTGTTTAAACCACCCAGTTTGTAATACAGGTTTTTCCCACTATCTAAAAGTAAAGTGTTCTTATGAAATCTTTTGTAAACTGAAATGGTATAAACTGAAGAAGCAATTATTATTAATTTATGTAGAAAAATTTTCTAGTATTTCCAGACCGCCCCGTCCCCCGCAAAATAACCTCTCGTAGGTTCTGCTAATACCTTAACATACATCTTGCTTTAAAACTAGGTGGTGGGTAGAGGCTAGAAGAGTTTTGAGGTGCATGCTAGAAAAAGTGTACGTTGCCTTGAAAGGGTTGTTGGTAGAAATATGGGGCCAGATAGGTACTTGAAATATCGGGAGGTGGGGGGACACTCTGTAAAGTACATGATTGTCTCACCACTATGTTGTACACCTGAAACTAATAGAGAATAATATTGAATGTAAACTGTACTTGAAAATTTTTTTTAAAAAAACCATTTAAGACTATTTTCTTGTCTGGTCAGTGTAGCTCAGTGGTTGTAGACCCATGAACTAGAGGTCATGGTTCAATTCCCAGTCAGGGCACAACACCAGCCTGGTGTTGCAGGCTTGATCCCCAGTAGGGGTCATGCAGGAGGCAGCCAATGTATAATTCTCTATCATCATTGATGTTTTTATCTCCCTCTCCCTTCCTCTCTGAAATCAATAAAAACATTTTTTAAAAGACTATTTTCTTATACAACTATATTAAAGATATTCATATATGAATTTCATATCCTATATATTTATATACCTAAAGCTTGAAATGATCATGAGACTCAGCCTCTTGGTGCGATATACTTGTGAATCTTTTCAGAAATATTGATTGGGGATATTTACACAGTATAGTCAACAACTAAATTATAGACACATTAATTTTTACCTTCCATGGTCAAATTTTCTTTCATACATTCCAATGCTGTGTGAGTAACTTCTTTTATAGCCTTTTTTTCTTTAAGAAGCTGAGAATACTTTTGAAAAAAAACTGAAACAGAGAATAAAATCATTCATTTTCCTGACAGTGTTATGAATTTGCTTATTATTATTACTTTCTTGAATGCTTTATAGAAACAACATCTACCAATGCCCAGTTACTTGAGTAGAAAGATCCTGATTATGGGAAAGATTTCCTATCACCCATATTCAATCTATACTAATAAAAGCTTAGGTGGTCCTCATGCCCTCGTGCAACACCCTCACGTCATCACAAGATGGCTGCTACAAGATGGCTGCCACCCTTGCAATGGTTATCAGTAATATCCCAGGGTTCCTTCTTAGTTTTCTTTCTCTTTGACCTCCGGCAATACTTGACCCTAGTTCTCTCCCCACTTTCATCCAGGACCAATGAGCCCAGTCCAGACTGCCAAATCACAAAATCATGAGCTAAATAAGTAGCTGTTGTTTTCATCCACTAAGTTTTAGATTGGTTTATTAAGCAGCCAAAGATAATTGATACAATCATCTTCAGGGGGAAAATTCACCCTCTTTAGGATTGTACACAACACTCTTCATGATCTGAGCCCCACTTCTTCAACCTACAACTTCATTTCTCACAGTTCACTTAGCACCATATGTTCCAATCATTTATTCTTAGGTTTCCTCACATTTTCCCATGTTCTCTCACATCTCTATGCCACCTCCTTCAGGAAGTCTATCTCAGCCTTCATTGCTTTTATCTGTACAACACTACCATACAATGTTGTAACCACTGGTTCATGTGACCAGTTACTATCACTTTCTGAACTTCAATGACTATGGCTTGGACTTTGGCACACTGTCTGACATAAAGCAGATGACCATCATTGCTTATTGAATGACCAGATGAATGAATAAAATATCTACCCAGATATATACTGGTTTTTATTCCTCTTATCAATTTGATAAATTCTTAAAGCCTAAGATATGCAGAAATCTATCTGTTTGCCAAGTTGCCTTTTAGATCTCATGTCTTGGGTAGGACAGAAATAATTAAGGTAAAAATTCAATGGGAAACTCTTCCTGAATATTTCTTCCCATATCCTTGTTCACCCGCTCATCTCAAAATATGTATGTGTGCACTCAAAAAGTCCTGGCCTTAGAAACACTAAGGAAATCTAAATTTGTCCTCATACAACTGTCTAGTGTGAAGATGGTACCCTATTTCACTCTATAACACAAACACACAGACACACATATACTCTTAAATTTCTATAGAGTCTATAGAGTGAATTCCATTATTTTTATAGAAAAGTGATTCAATTCAAATTTAAAAGCAGCATTTGTAATAGATTCCCACTAATTATACCATCCCTCAGAGAACACATTTTACCAGATTTCTGAATAAACCCCTTGTTAAATATAAAAATCTAATGGATACCCTCTGTTTGTGTAAGGCAGACATTCATTATAGTTTCATTGGGATACTTACTGATAAAAGCGATAAAAAATGAGATTGCCAATAATAGCAGAAGTATCAGCAATGAGGGTAAGAGTGCCTTGGGAAAACCAGGGTTACTTTTGTGAAGGCTGGTCTTCTCTTTGGGAGCTAAAGAAGAAATTAAATTAGTTTTATCAATAGTAAATTTTGCCTGGCCGGGTGTGGCTCAGCGGTTGAGCGTTGACCCAGGAACCAGGAGGTCGCCGGTTCGATTCCTCATCAGGGCATATGCCCAGGTTGTGGGCTCGATCCCCAGTGGGGGGCATGCAGGAGGCAGCCAATCAATGATTCTCTCTCATCATTGATGTTTCTATCTCTCTTTCCCTCTCCCTTCCTCTGTGACATCAATAAAAATATATATATATATAAAAAAATAGTAAATTTTGATCATTATTTACTCTTTCTCCTTCTCTTCTTCTTCTCCCTTTTCTTGGGTGGCATACTATTACTAACCATATGACATTGGAAATAATATAAAAATGGAAAGGAAATATGTTCATTGCATAAACTTTGGAAAATACATTAAAAGCATAAATCCCTACTATTGAGGACAACTAATGTTAATGTTTTGGTATATATTCTTTCAGCAATTTTTAGAGTGTTTATATATACATGCACATTTTCCCAGATGATTGACACACCATATATACTAGTTTCTGACCTATTATTTTCTTATATGCTATTTAATAAACATTTTTATTCCATATTTTCTTCTACTCCACTCTCTATTGTGGTTGCATAGTATTTCATTATATATTTAAGTGATCTTCCAGACTATTTCCATTTTTATTGAATTTTTTGAGGTTATAGTGGTTAATAAAATTATATAGGTTTCAAGCATACAATTCTATAATATATCATCTCTGTATTGTATTGTGTGTTCATCACCCAAAGTCTAGTCTCTTTTCATCACCTTTATCACCTCTTTACCCTTATACCTGTCTCCACCCCACCATACTGTTTTTATATCTATGAGGTTTATTTGTTTTGTTTTGTTTTGTTTTTGCTTAATCTCATCACTTATTTCACCCAGGCTCTTAAGCCCCCTCCCCTCTGACAACTGTCAGTCTGTTCTCTGTATCTATGAGTCTGTTTCATTTTGTTTCCAATTTTAACTACTTTAAATAATGCCATAGCAGATACATCTTTATAATCATCCCTTTTCACATTCATAGGATAAGGTCAGTCCTTTTTAGTCACTATTTCATGGTTAAAAATTATTTTCCCCAAGTAATTATATATTGCCAAGTATATTGTGATCTCATTTTTAGAAAAAAATACATATATATGTCTGGGAGGATATACACTAAAAATGTAAGTTATAGTTATTACTAGGTGGTAAGAACAAAATTTAAATTTTTATGTACCTCTAATTTTTTTCTACAATGAACATTTTAACATATAATAAAGAAGTTTCATACATTTTAAGAGTTAAAACAGTTTTCTGAGTATTCTCCATCTCTCCACAGAAGAGTTTTAGAATACATAAGCAATCATGACTGCCCTCTCACAGCTGCTTAGACTCTACGCGCGTTTTTCTTCTCTTTTGCTCTATATCTGAGATATCACAGGTGCTACTCAAGTTACATTTTATCTACTCCAAAACTAAGTTGAATCCATCTCAGAGATTCAGAATGCAATGGATTTTCTCATTACAGAGCAATTTCCCTTGAGATATAAGGGACTTTCTTTATACAACTTTCTAGTCTTTTATCTGCAATGATCTTTTGTTCCCCTTTAGTCCAGTATTAACAAGGTTTTGTTAATGCACCTACAGCACTCTTCCCCCACACTCCTCTCCTCTAACTGGTCAAGAAACAACGTTCATCACTCTACAGGGGCTATGGATAATTTAGTGCGCTTTGTCATTTCTGACTGCAGTCTTACTGAGCTTTACAGGAGGACAGCTTCCTCCCATAATTACCATTCTCCTGAGCTCAGGACTATAGCGGACTTCTCACATCTCAGTTTTGTTACAGTACAAATGTGCAGTCCTTAATACTTATCTTCTGAGAATTCTATATTTCCAAACTGTGGTCAATCAGAAAACCAGCATCTATTATCACCTATGCTTTGTTTATAGTATTCTCTCTTCATTCTTCATCTCATCATTAATTCTGACCACCAGAAGATGTTTCTTACCTGCAGGAGGCTCTGATTTGGTGCCTAAAGATGTAGATTCATTTTTGAACCTCACTTCAGCATAAGTGATCTCTGAAGTCATATTGAGATTGTCTGCTCTCTTCAAAAAATCCTTGGTATCTCTTCCTTAAAACATCTTAAAATGAAAATTAAACATGATGGTAACTTGTCGTACTTCCTATCATGCAACTACCAGTAGATGAGAACAGCGGCTACAGATATGCAAATTTCCCTGAGAGGAATCTCACGAGAACTTAAAACCTCAAGGCAGAGGCTCATTCTCCAGGACTAGCACAGTGGAAATTATAGTCTTTAAACACACGCTAGCAAAAGTAATAAAAGTAGGATCTCAAAAAGTAGAAGAAAGAAATAGGAAGGACAAGAAAAGAGGAACTAAACAATTAGAGAAATCTTTCATGAGAACTATGTACTCTGAACTCACCAGCAAGAATAAAATTCAAGTATTTGTGCGCATCTACATGCAAACATAATTATTTGTAGACCAACGAATCTTGGCATATACTAACTTAGCCTGCATTTTCCTCACCTTTTGTGGCTTATTAGGCAACTTTTAGAGACCACATTCTAAGAGGGTCATTGACAAAAATTTACATCAACTTCCCGCTTTCAACAGTCAGCACCTTCTAATGTATTGGGGAAGTGAAACTAGATGGTATGCCTTCTGAATCTTCTCAGTGCTGTCTGCTTTTCCCTGTTCTTAACTAACTCCATCATGAATCTCCATTTATTTTGCCACAGTCACATCCAGCAACTTCTGAAAGCAGCTCTCTTTTTTGGATGTTAAAGGAGTAGGCCACCCTTCTCTAGTCCATCCTTCTCTATCACTTTAATACCCACAACAGCACAACAAAAGACTATACAGGTATATACAACTACTTTTTAACAGTTAGGATAATTTAATGAAATCACAATTTAGAAGGAGATTAACTTAGTGCTAAATATGATTTTTTCCAAAGGCCAAGATAAAAACTCTCCAAAAATTAAATCCTCTGTGTGAAATCTTTTCACAGACCGGCTCCCGGCTTACACCTAATTCAGCTTCCCCCAAATAATCCTCCTTTGAATCCCTCCCACTTACTAACTCATCCCACCCCTATAACACACACACACACACACACACACACACACACCTGTATATTTATTTCTATATCTAAATATATTGAATATATGAGTTCGCACTAATATCTCTAATTTTAATCCAACACCAAAGAGTTCATTCCAGTTTTCTCCCTTTCTACAACTCCCTTCTGTGACAGTAAGAAATCTGCTTTCATTATCTTGAACTTCTTCCTTATTTGATCAAACCTCTAGATATAACCAATCTTCTATTCTTGTTGCCACTTCCTCCCTAAGAAGTCTTCTCTCCCTGAATAGGCTCTGACTCCCCAATACAGGCCCCCACTGTTATCGATGGCCTCTTCATTCTTCTTGGGCATTCTTGCACAAGTCCAGTCAACCCCCAGACACATCGTTCTCACCTTGCTCAGCTCTGACACCCTACACAAGTAAGAAAGCACTCCTTGCTGTCTCTGGACTCTGATTCTGATGATAGCCCCTAGCCTCCACTTGGAGTGCATCCTTACCCCACTTAGGCTCTAACATCCTCATGTGTAAAAGTCCTCCTCTCCCTGCCTGGGCTCTGCCTCTTCACATTGGGCTGCCCCACCATGTGGACAGCCTCCTTATCCTGCCAGCCTCTGAAACCCACAGCAGTAAGGGAAAGGAAGAGCTAATTCTTAAAATTTTTTCTAGCAAATTCTACTGGACATAACAAGCACTTGCATGTGAAGAGGTGTGCATGCACACACCCTCCCTCCTCCCAATAGTAATCATTGATTGTCAGAGGCTTAGTTATCTGAGCTTATAAGGAGAAAGCAATACATATTCCTAAAGGCATCTCTCTTTCCATGGAGTAAGTCACATTCTAACTGGATTACATTATATCGCAAGCAACCCCAAAATTTGAGTGTCTCACAACAAACATTTATTTTTTCCTTCACATGACATGTGGCATGTCTTTAAACATACACTTAGAGTCCACTTCAGGTTTACTGTAACTCTGCTTGGCACTTCACCAAGTATTTTCTGATTCTGGAACCTAGGATCATAGAGCAGCTTCTTGTAAACTAAAACATATAGTAACATTCAAATCCTCTATTCAGATAATGTGTACATTATTTCCACTCTGACTCCATTGGCCTGTGCAAGTCACATGAACAAACCTGTGAATGGGGCAGGGAAATACACTCTACCTACAGAAAGTCATGTCAAGGGCAGCAAAATTTCTCACAGAAAGAAAGAAACACTTGAGAACAATAATACAATCTACCCCAATCCCTTTGTCATTTGGTTTGTCATAACAGGTTGGCTTAAACAACAAACATTTATTTTACACATTTCTATTGATTGGGAAGTCCAAGATCAAGGTGCCAAAAGATGCAATATCTGGTGACACTCTTACCCCTTCCTAAATCAGAGATTGCCATCTTCTCGCTGCTTCCTCATATGGAGACTTTTATAAGGACATTCATGAAAGCTCCCATTCACGAAAACTCCATCCTCATGACTTAATCATCTCCCAAAGCCCCTCCCCCTACTAATACTATCACATTGGGGTTAAAATTTCAACATATGAATTTAGGGGACACAAACAGCCAGTCCATAGCATTCTTTAAATTATTTAGCCAAGGGATCTCTAGAGTAGTAATCTCCAAAATGGAGCATCCAAGTGCCCCAGGTGGTATAAAAAAGGATCCTCTAGGGCACAGAAATAAAATACTAGAACTTCTATTTATATGTATTTAAAATGTTAAGGAAAATAAACTTTACTAATATTATATGGATTGAGTGTAGGCTGCATGGCATGTGTAGCAGTGGAACTATCATAAGGAAAAAGAGTGGAGGCTCCACAACTCTAAGTTGATGTTGTACCTTTGTTTGTTCATTCACTTTCTGCACGTAGCATCAAATCTGTGCAATCACGAATTTGGCTGGCCTTCTTACCCAGTTCCTGGAGGGTAGCCACTGAATCCTTATATTTCCTGAGTAATAGGAATGTCTTTGTTATTTATGGTGAGCCTTAATATGTTATATTAATAAAGTCACTCATAGTGGACCCCTAAATAGTTTATGCTAACCAGATGATTCAAGATAGGGACTGGCCAAGCCATAAAGACCAACTATTAGAGGATCAGAGGGTTGGGGTTTTGAGCTGTAAGATATCAATCCAGACAGGAGAGGGAAGCTGGAGATAGAGTTCAACTTTGCATAAAATTATTTAGTCAAGCATGCCTATTGAAGGGGTTCAAAACAGGTCTCCCCAAGATGTGACATTTTGGCATGTAAATTACATACTTTGAGTTGAAGGACTTATGAAAAACTTTTACCTCTCCCTTTAAAAATTTCAATAAGGGCCCTTGCCAATAATAAGACATAACTTTTTATGATTTATCTAATTATTGAACATCTTCCCTTCTTGTTCTGTGAATGACCTTCTTCCCCTATGAAGCCCCAAAATACCTTACCTCATCCTTAGCGCAAAATTCCACATACCCCATTTTAACTTTCTGTCCCTGAGCCTCTGATGTATGTGGGGTTCTCATACATATGTAATTAAATTTAGTTATTTTCTCTTGTTCAACTAGTTCATGTAGATTTAATTATTAGACCGGCCAGAAGACCATGGAAGGGTAGAGAAAATTTCTTCTTCCCCATGCTATGTGATAAATGTTAATAAAAACTTTGGGCACCAAGGCTCAGGTGAGCTCCCCTGGTTGCCAATACTCTGTGTATGGTCACACATTGATGTGCCAGGAAGGTGACACATCCATGGGACAATGAAAGCTTCCCAATTTGGATCCTCCTAGATCTCACCCTATATGCCTCTCCCTCATAGTTTGAGTGTTATGGGTTTATAGGAGGAAGACTACACAGGTGAAGTAACATTTTTATCACATTATATCAAAGGCATATGCCATGAATATGACTTATCATTGATGTTGTTAACCTTGCTCACCTGGTCAAGGTAGTGCTTACCAGGTTCCTCCATTATACATGGTGGAGCAAAAGTAGGTTTATAGTTATTCATATAGAAAATAATACAATAATTAATAAATAATAATACCAAAATAAGCTCTATGTTTTGCATACTCACAATTGTAAAACTACTTTTGCCCCACCCTGTATTCTTCCTGCTCCCTTTCCATATTGTGTTCTTTGGAAGCAAGTCACCTAACATACCACACAGGCAAGGCCAGGGAAAGGAGTTTCACCTCCTTCAGGGGAAATTATCTAAATAAATTATTTAGAATTCTAATGCATAGGAAATTTGTCTATTCCCCATTCATTAACTCCCTTATTTATTTATATAAGTCTGGATATTTTGAAGGTTTTATTTGTGTTGTAATCTAATACTACATTTATTTTGTTGCTCAGATTCCAGCTTTGGCCATTGAGGAGTCCTTTCTTTTCTTTTTTACTTTAAACACTTTTTAATTTTTTAATTACAGTACCCTATAATCCTAATATATAAAAAGCCAGGGGCTGTCACAACCGAAACAACTGCTTTTCTCTTGCTACTTTTAAGATTCTCTCTTTAACCTTTTGTATTTTAATTATGATGTATCTTGGTGTGGGCCTTTTTAGGTTCATCTTTTTTGGGACTCTTTGTGCTTTTTTGGACTTATATGTCTATTTCCTTCATCAGGTAAGGGAAGTTTTCTATCATTATCATTATTTTTGTTGTTGTTGTTAATCCTCACCTGAGAATATTTTTTCCATTGATTTTTAGAGAGAGTGGAAGTGAGGG